AAGATATTATTTAGAAAAACTTCTATATTTATATTTAGAACTAAAAAGTAAAAGATTAAGAATATTAAATCCGGAGAAATTAAAAATATCTAATATATTTATAAAATACTAGCTAAATAGAAGTTAATATTTAAGGAAATATATAATAGTATTTTAAGATCTATTTATAAATAAGAATATTATAGTATTATTAATAGATTTCTTATATAATATATATTTAATAGCTTATTAATACTTTCTTTATTAATATAGGAGATATTAATAATATTAAGAATAATCTAAAGCTAATTACTAAGATCTATAAAGTTACTAAAAATAAGAAATATATTTCTATTATTTAGATAAATAAAGAGATATAGGATTTCTTTTTCGAAATCCAGAAAATTAAAAACTATAAATATAAGTATTATATTTCTAAGTCTAGTATTACTAATCTAGATATAAATAGTTATATTTATAAGAAAAATTACTTGAAGTAAATTAAGAAACTTAGTATTTAAAAGCTTTTAATATAGGAAATAAAGATATTATAATTTTATTTTTAAAAAAATAATATAATAAAATATAAAGATTTAGGTAATAGCTACTTTATTTTAGCTTTTTAACTTTTAATAGCAGATTTATTAATATAGCTCGGATTTTATAAGGTATTAAATAAGTACTTTATTTATTTAGTTATTTATTATTAGTTAGTCTAATATTATATTTCTAGAAATATTAATTATAATTAGTATAAAAGTAATACTAAAGATCTAATTATTACTAAAGCTTTAAATAGCGAATTCTATTTTAGTAAAAAGTATTAGAATATTAGCTATATTTTTTTTATAAATTATAAAAAGGCTATTATTTTTAGTAAAAAGTTCTTTAAAAATATTAATTATTTTTTTATTTCTAATAATTTTGAGCCAGAAATAATAAAGGAAATAGGCGAGTATTTATTAAAGGTAATAAAAGAAAAGACTCTAAATATAGTCTATTTAACTAGATAAATAAATACCTTTAGCTAGGTAATCTATAAGTCTGAAATTATAAATAAGTAATAATTCTCGAATAATATAGAAATTAAAGAATAGCTTAATAATAATTTATTATTTAATAGGCCTTTTACTATAATTCTAATAAATCTAGTTATTATTAAAAATAAAATATATAAAAATAGAGTTTTTTATAAGATTATTAAAGCCTCTTATCTAGAGCTTTCTTCTTTTATTAAAGATTAATTTAAGAATATTATAAATAATATAAAATTTAAAAGAATTATTTATTTAAAATATATTAATATAATTTATAATATAATTTACTATAATAAGCCTTTTTAATATCTAATAATAAAAGCAGAAATTAAATAATAATTAAAAGCAAATACTAATTAATATAAAAAACTATATTAGATTTAGTATAAGAATATAGCTAAACAGATTTGAATTACCTTTAAATAAGTTCGGAAATATAAAATAAAACTATTTAAAAATAATAGATCTTATTTTAGATATATTAAAAAGAAATTAAATTAGCTAATAGAAGAAAATCCTAATTATTTTATTATTTTGGACTTTAAATAGGATTTTTCTATTAGTTTTAGTATTTAGGAAATAAGTATAAATAAATAAAGAATTAGATATAATATAATAAATTATATTCTCTAAAAATTATATTCTCTAAAAATTATATTATTTTAGTAATTTTAAGGTTTTAGTTATATAATAAAGGCTATAGTCTTTTATATATAACTTATAGAAATTATATAAAAAAGCTAGTTTTTTTATAATTCTAGAAAATAATTTCTTTTTAGTATTTAATTAATTAAGCTTTTATATACTATATATTATTTATACTTTACTATTTATACTTTTAATTTATTATTTTACTATTAAGTTATATTTTATATTCTAATATACTTTATATAGGTTTTTGTTTTATTATAGTTTTCCTTTTATACTATTCTAACTAGTTAATTTCTTAATTAAATTATTAACTAGAAATTATTATTATATCTTTTAATTAGATCTTTTAATTAAATATTTTATTTAATAAATAAATCGATTTTAGTTATTATTATTTATATAATAATTACTATTATCTGAATTAAAGTACTAAATTTGCTCTTTAGTAATTATAACTAATATTACTTTTTTAATACTTCTATATTATAAATAACTACTATATTAATTATAATATATATAAATATTATAATAGCTTTCTTTTTAATTTAATATTTCTATATATTTTATATAGCCTTAATTATTATTCTTTTATTATTAAATAGCCTTCCTTAGCTTATTAATAGCTAGCCTCTTTCTTCTATTATTAAGTAGCTTTTCTTAGTTTATTAATAGCTTTTTATTTCTCTTTTATACTTTTATATTTCTCTTTTATATTTCCTATATATTAAATATATATATATAATACTATTAGAATGTTTTAGTTACTAGTATTAGGCTATAAGGTTTAGAGATATTAAATAAGGCTATTTTTTATGGCTTTTAGATAGAATTCGTTTGATTTTCTATTATTTTTAAAAAATTGGCCTATATATATAAATAAATTATATATATATATAATATAGCTAGATTTTAATATTAAAAATTATAGAAATTAAAAAATATTTATTTATAAGATAATAAAATATTATTTATTATAATTAGAAATTAAATATAAGAAATATATTAATTATTATTAAATTTTTAATAATAATAATTATAAATAATAACTATTATTAGATTTTTATATAATTTTAAACTTATAAAAATATTTAAAAGTATTTTTAATAGCTTTTATATAATAAAAGAAATTCGAATATTTATTAAATTATAAGAAATAAAAATATATTATTAAATTATTTTAATAATTATCTTTTAAAAGTAATATATTAAAATCTTGAATTATTTTAAATTATATAAATTTATTATATAAAAATATAATATAATTAAAACTAATTATAAAAGTTCTTTAAAATAATTATCTTTATTTTTCTTTAATAAGTATTTTAAAAAAGTAAAAAACAAATACTTATTTTATTATTATAATATAAAAAATTATTATTTTTATTAAAATATTAAAATAAGAAGAAGTATATAATACTTATTAAATAACTTTTATAATTTTATATCTAATTAAATTATTATTAACTTTAAGTACTTATTTCTAATATTTTTATTTTTATTTTTCTTATTTTATTTTTTTAATTAAAATAATAAATTAAAGATAATATTATTTAAAAGAAAAACTTTTTTTTATATATCTTATAAATATATAAAAATAATTAAAGTTATATAGCTTTATTATTAGAAAAATTAAAACTTATATTATATTTTAATACTTTTTATATTTTTAATAATAAGATATATTTTAAAATAATTATTAAATTCGAAAGTTATTTATTATTACTTATATTTAAAGCAAGTTTATAATATAAATAGTTTTATTATAATAGTTTTTAAGTATTTTTAAAAAATATACTTTTTTAATATTTCTTATTTTTTATTAGATATTTACTTTTTCTTATAAAAGAAAATATCTTTATATAAAAATTTATTATATAGAATACTTAGTAAATTTTTCGCTTAGATTTAATATTAAACTAATACGAATTAATTCTATTAATCCTAAGTAATATTAGGAGATATTAATACCCCAGATATTATTATTAAGCTTAATAAATCAATTTTTATATTAATTTTAATTAGCTTGCTAAGAGGTTTTGAGAAGAAAAGCGGGGCGAGCAAAGTATTAGCTAAGAGTTTAAAGAAAGGATCTTAATAGCAGATTCCCCTCCAAAGATTTGGGTCGTTAACAGGCTTCTTTGGGCAGCCGTTGCAAAGGCGGGAACTAAGCTCGTGGCTGCTCTGGTGGCATTTCTTGCAATACAATAGATACTCCGTATAACGTAACTCTTTCTTTTCGCTGAAGGTTGTTAGGCAACTTAACGTATGCTTAAAAGCTTGACTCTTACTCGGCTATTGAACTTGGCACCAGCGGCAGTCTGTAGGGATTGCAGCTGGTATGGCTTTCCCTCCTAAAAATAAAAATATACCTCGGCAGGCTCGTAAGGGATTTCAGCCGCCGAGGATGGGTCCGGGGGCTAACCCGAAATCAACTAGCCAAGCGGCGGCCGACCGAACAAGCGAGGCGGCCACTAAAACCTGTGGTGTTTCGGCAGTGGCACGTGCACGCCCTTCTGGAGTCCCTTCCGGGGAGTTTATAAATATTGGACTAATTTAGAGTTAAGTCGTTTCTTTCTCATATGATATTTCAACGTAGATGTAACGGGAAGAATCCAGGTGAACTGTTTACTATTAGTGCTAGTAAATAGCCGATTAATTAGTGCCGTAGATACTTACTCAAAACCCATAATAGAGCAGGGAGTTCGTCTGAAACTAACATCCCGTCTCTGGCGACCCAGCTGATATCAGCCCTAGGCAATTTTCGGTGAATGGTGGGGTGGCATGGTACGCAAAGTTCCCAGCCACATTATGAGACGAAACAAATCTTATCTACGTCAATGCATAATCGATATTTGTGATGCCCTAAGGAGGGCAAAGTTGATATGTATCAGACGCTTAGAATCACAGCGACAGACCTTACGAACCCACCTCCGTAGGCCATTTCCCGAGCCTCGCCAAACCTCCTTTATGGCTCAAAATCCAAGAGTCGTGACTATCACTTCCAAAGTTTAGAGCCACCGAGACATTTAATATTCCCAATTTATCGTACATCGCGATCAAATTAAATAAATTACCCTTTAATCAATTTACATGGTTCTTTTTGAGAACCTGATGATTTTGTTTACTCCGTAGGTGCAGAATGCCCTGTGGAGCACAGACCTACGAACGTGGTTCGTTACGTGTTTCAGCCATCACCAGTAATTTATACTTCATTTAATCTCTTTTGTCCTCGTCACCTTCGTCGCCGTTGGTTGGCAACACACATTGTAAAGAACACCAAACTATGTTCTCGGGCTTTTAGACTCTACGGGTAGAGCTTCTATAGTTACAATGATGTATATTTTATCTTTGGCCATCGCTCTGGTGCCTTTGGCAGTACACACCTCAGCCAGTTTCTTATCTGTATTAGCCAGCCGTCCCGAACCCTCCCAGTTCAACGCATATTTGTCTCAGTTTCCCCGGCTTACAACTACCATCAGCACTGTGGACAATGCAACTCTTCTCATACCTTCGAACACCGCATTTACAAAATGGCTTCAGAACACTGTTCCACCCCTCACAGCATCTGATATTGAAAATACACTTAATTATCATATCATTCACGGCACATTTCCGGTAGCCTCATTTACGAACACTGCGCAATTCGTACCTTCGTTTCTGACCAATACTTCATACTCGAACGTAACGGAAGGTCTTCTAGTTGGATTGATCAACATTGATGGAAATCCACAGATCCGATCAGGCCTAGGCACCAACAGCTCTATAGTCACACCTGTATGTCTCTTAATCCCATACAGAATTACATCGTTGGACGTTTTTAACTTTAAGATAGGATCTTATAGCAAACGGAGGATTAATCCACATTCTTGATTCAGTTCTTCGGCTGCCTCAGTCCCAATCCACGACCGCTGCAGCATTAAACCTGAGCTTCTATACTGCCATCCTCCAGGTCGGTAACTTTTTGAGTAACGAAGAGATCAATTTCACCGACGCCATCGTCGAGCTCCCGGACGTGACATACTTCTTTCCCAACACGGCGGGTGCGCTCGCGATGTTCAAAAGCATGTCCTCGGCGTTAACACATCAGCAACGGGATGCCATGTTGGAATATCACGTTGTGACAGGGTTTGTTGGCGTGTCATCGGACCTTACAAATATGGAGGTCATACGTACTGTCCAAGGAAGCAATTTGACAATCTTTGTTGGACCGGACGGTTCGAAGTTTGTGAATAACGTGAAGATAATCGCTACAGACTACTTAATTAATAATGGCGTTCTACATACTATTGATGGGTAAGCAGGCCTTTTCAAACTTTAAGCATCACGACTAATATCCCGAAAGACTCCTAAATCCAAATAATATTACCGCACCTGTTTTCAGCTATTCACCATTGCCCGTTTCAAGGGGAGCCTTAACTGGAATTGTCATAGGAGGGGTGGTCATTGTCTTCTCCATTTCCGCAGCCATGTCGTTATACATCAGAAGACGAAAACGACGTCCGACGGCTCGAGCCTTTTCAAATCTTGAACCTACACCAACCGAGGACACTACTCATACTCAGTCGATAAGCGGGCCATTATACGAGCTGGAGCCGCATGAAAAAGGTGTCATTGAGTTGGTCTATGACCCCAGCGCCCATTTACCCGAACTAGCGGCAGTGAAGATGAGAGCGGAACCAATGGTCTATCGGGACCCTGTTACTCAGAAGTGGACACCGATAAATCTGCCGGTGGGGATGTAAATGTCATTTACTGTTATGGTTGTCATAGAACTGGTGGTATTGGGCGCTTGCGGTATTTCCTGGATAGGGAAAGTACATGATTAATCCTTTTCCCCAGAAGTATTAGATGTATGGTCATATGATTTATATGCAACTCTTACTCTCTCCTGCGTTCGGTATGGTCCATTTTGGGGGGGCATACAAATACTCTACTTTGCACAGATTCGGGTACTTTAGACTACTCAATGTCAATGATTTGGGTCCTTAATTTGCTTGCTTCGATCAATGCATTCTACTCACCAAAACCAGCTCAAGTCAATATAAGCACTACTAATTGTAAAGTTACAAATGAACGAGCATTGAAGCATTACCGGTTGTAACGGCTCTGGCTAGGGTTATAAGGGGGGTGGCTGTCACATGACTGGTTTCACCTAAACAGCCGGCGTTTCAGTGGTTTTAGCTAGTATTCCCCCCTTTTATCCTCTTCTTCTCCCTCTCTCTCTCCTTCTTCTCTTTAGCTTAGTATTTTCAATACATAAGATTCTTGAATCTTTGAGCCTTAGCTATTACCTCAATTTCAATATTATACTAGTCGGGGTTATAACAGATTTCAAATTAATATATAACTCTTTATAAAATAAAGTTTTATAATTAATATTATTAGAAAATATAGTTTTACTAGAAATAAATTAATATTATTCTGTTTTATAAGCTTAGTAAGGTTTTATATTTAATAAAATATTTTAGAATATTTCAAAAATTAATATTAATTAAAAAGAAATAATAATAATAAATTAATTTAATTATTTCTAAATAAGCTAATTCTTATATATTTTTAATTTTTATAAAAAGATTTATAAATTATATTATTAAAAGGCTAAAAACTATTATATAACTTTTATAAGAAATAAGAAAAGCTTTTATTAAACTATAATATTATTATAAGAAATCTTTTACTTATATTATAATAAAAATATATAATAATATATAAATAAATATTAAATATTATAAACTTTATTTCTTATTTCAAATAATACTTATATTAAAATTATATTTTCTAATTAAATAAAAGACTTTATATACTTAATTAAATATAAGAAAATATATAAGAAAATAATTATAATTTTAAAAAGAGATATTAATTAGGCTTTTATTAAAAGAATTTCTTAGAAATTAATTATATTTATAAGTATTACTTTATAATATTTTTATTATAATTACCAAAATATTATTTTATTAGTTTATGCCTTATATTTTATTTAATACAATTTTCGAGAAATAATTTATTACAAAATAATAAAACTATTAATAAATAAAATTACTAATAATTAAAATATTAATTAAAAATTAATTTTATTATTAATATAATTATTTAGCTAAATATTTAGAAAAGTATTTAATTTAATACTTTTAATATTATTTAATTAAGAAAATAAATAATATTTTAAATATTATAATAATATTAGCTTAGTAATTATATTAGTAATTTAAATTTATAAAAGTTATTTTATTATAATATTTTAAAGAAAAAAAAGATTTTTTTTTTAAAATAAAAAAAACTTAATAAGCCTTTAATTTCTTTAATAGATATATAATTTTATAACTATATATATTAATAATAATATTATTAAAATTATTATAAAATTATATTTATATATAAGAATATAAGAATTTTAATATTTTAAATATTAGTTTAGCTATATATATTATTATAATTATATAATATTTAAAAGCTTTTATATTAATATTATATCTTATTTATTTTATTATATATTAATTAATAAATTAAAAATATATATAAATATTATAATTTAATTTTTATAAAAAAGCAAGAATTATAAAGAAAGAATTCGGAAATAAAACTTTATAATATAATATTTAATAAAAGTACTAAAATAATTAATAATATTATTAAAGTAAATTTCTAATTTATTTATATTAGCTAAACTAAATAAAAACAAAGTTTTTATAAATATAATTTAGAACTATATTTATCTAATTAATATTTTCATTATTATAAATTTAATATTATTATTAGTTTTCTATTTAACTTGGAATTATTTAGAATTAGTAATTAAATATTTAAAGGCTTTAGTATTAATTATAATTTTATAAAAGTAATAAGTATTATATTTTATTATATTATTAATTATAAAAGTCTAAGTATTTTTTATAAAGAATTTAATAAGTTTTAAAATATAGTTTTTACTTATTATTTAATATAAATTAATAATTATGTATAAAATATTTTAATTTTTAATTTAAGCTAGCTTAATATTTATATTATTAAAAACTTTTTAATAATAGTATTTAAAACATTATTTATTTATTTTACTATTTTAATTTTTAAGCCTTTATTTTTTTTTAATTATATATTCTTGGAAATATTAATTAATCTTTTAATAATATTAAATTATAGCCTCTTCTATTTTAATATATATATATATAATTATAAGAATTTTAAGCTTATTAAATTATTATATAATTTAAATCTTTTTGCCTTTTAATTATATATATATATATATATATATTATTAAGTTCTTAATAGCTTTATTAATTTAAAGATATATAAGTTTTTAAAAAACTAAAACTAAAATTAATATTCTTATATTATAATATAAAAATAAGAAATAAAATAAGAAACTTATTAATTTATTTTATAAGTTTTATTTTTATTATATATATATATATATAGGCTTTTCTAAAATAATTCTTTTATTATTACTAATAATAAGCTTTTATTAAATTTTAAAAAAGTCGAATTTTTAAGCTTTACTTTATTACTTTATTTAATATTTAATTTATTAAAATCATTTTTTATATTAGAGAATTTCTTATATTATTAATTAATAATTACTTGAATAATAATAAGAATTATAATTAAATTTAGAATTAAACTAGCTTATTTGTGTTTTTAAAGGCTTAATAAAATAGCTATTAAAAGTATATAAAAAATGCATTTAATTAGATATATAATTATTAAAATATTAATATAATTTTAAAAAAGTGGTTTATTTAAAGAAATAATTATATAATAACTAAAATATAAAAATGTTTACTTATTTAATTATATATATTATAATTCCTTTAATAATAAAGATATTATAATTTTAAGAATATAGTTTTAATTTCTAAAATATATAATATAGTTTTAATTAGTATTATAATAGTTTTTGTTTTTTTAATTACTTTTAAATTAAACTAATTATATTTCTCTTTTATTACTCTTATACTTAGAGAGAGAGAGAGAGAGAGAGAGGAATTAAAGAAAGTAAATATTTGAAGTTGTAATAGAGGTACAGGGAGAGAGTGTAGTATATGGGCGTTATGTGGGTGTTTGCGATTTTTGGTGGGGTGGCACGTGCCGAGTTGTAAGTCGTAAGTCGAAAGTCGAAAGTTGCAAAGCTCGCTTGGCCACTTGATCCTTATGGCTTTCCGTATCGGCTTGACGTGGCCAATCCGTCTAACCCAAAGCCTGCCTAGCGCAGAATTCAGCATTGTGGAGGCTGAGTGCAAGCGACGTCCCCCGAATCCAGCGAGGCAATCCTCTTTTATTATTCTCTCACTTATTTATCTCAGCTTCCTTTTCTCCTCTCGTAAAATTTCGCCTTTCTTTCTGGTCCCCCCAACGGCTTCGACAGGCCGTGAACTGTTTCTCAATGGCCCAGACAGGCTGCCATCGCTGTCCTCAACTGGATGTAATGTGGCAGAAAAGAGGTTTGACCCTGAATAACATAGAAATTAATAGGCATTAATGCCACTGACTACTCTTTAGGTACAAATAATTGGCAACAGGTACAGGCGGGTCTGGATGATATCGATATTACGAGGGTCAAAGATGCGAGCGACCTGTTGAATTTCGAGTTTGACATCGGCATCATGTCAGTTTGTCCTTGCCAAGTGGTTATAATGATGCTGACTCGCGCGTGAAGCAAAGCCAAGGCGGATCAAGTCCGTGAGTGTCATAGGTGTCGAAGATATTTTACTCAAGCATTTCAAATTCCCAATCTCTGGTGGAAAGCATACTGTAGGAACTCCAATGGGTATTTTGGCTGTGAGGATACGACGGACGGCTTTAGTAGTTCCCCCTCCCTTTAGCGGAGTTTATTTTTGCTAACTAGAAGCATAGATACGTGGGCACGTTTCTTGATTAAGCATTTAAAGGAGGATAAGATCAACTACGAATGGTACAAGCTTAACGTCTTTGTACGATGGCTATTTTCATCTAAACAAATAGTACTGATTATATTCGATCCGCCCCCGCCGATAATAGAAAGACTGCCGAGTCCACTACTCGACGAGCCCGATGACAAGCACCTAGAAGACCCTTTTTGGATCTATACACCACTAATTGAGGAAGTCGTTCGACTACAGGATCAAGCTGTATGGGCCATACGCAACCAGGTCAGAGCCGTGGAGAGAGAGAAGATGTCGGCTACAAAGCCAAAGCCAAACTATCGCCTCCTCCACGATATCAGCAGGCACGAAATCCATGTATCGGAGACTCTCGGTATAGCAATCAATACTATCAATAGTATACTGGAAAACCACAAGGATTTTATGGCTAGCAATCTTAGCGTTGACGCAACATCGAATAGCCCGTCAAAGCGTATCCACCAACGGTTGCTCTTCCACAAGCATATGCTTGATAGTCTATGTCATCGCTCATCTTCAAACAAAGAACGGTTAATGAACGAAATCCAGCTCGCATTCAACACAGTCGCGCAATACGATTCAGGCATATCGGTCGAGATCGGGCGTGCGGCGCAAATCGATAGTGCTGCAATGAAGACTATCTCCTTCCTCACGTTGACATTCCTACCAGCCACATTTACTTCCACCATATTCAGCATGTCATTCTTCAACTATAGCCCTGACTCTAGATCATGGACCGTTTCTGGCAAATTTTGGATCTATTGGGCAGTTGCAATCCCGTTGACCGTCGCTGCTTCCGTTGTTTGGTACTACTGGCATAAGGTGTTCCCGCCTACTTTAATTGGAGAAGAAAAGAGAGATGAGGCTACGTTAAAATCCTATTGCTAGACGGAAGATGGCTGTTAGAACAAAATCAGCCGATAATTCTGAAGAGAACTTAATAATTATTTTATGCTATACGGGACACTGAGAATAATAACTCTGACTCTATATAGTTAACTTAAACTTCTCTATCCAGTCCCGGTATAAGTAATCTGGATATTCTATATGCCCGAATTAGTAAAATTAAGAATCTAACTGCCGCTCGAATTTATAAAGGTTTAATAAAAAAGCTATCCTAAAATAATATATTTTATTTTTACTATTATATAATATATTATTAAAATATTTAATTATTTTTATCTTTATTAAATAATAATTCTATATATATAAATTTAATAAGTTTAATATTAAATACTTTATAAAATATTTACTTATAATCTAACTAGTAAAAAGATTCTAGAATAGTTCTAACTATTTAGAATTCTTATTATAGAAGTTCTAAAAAGCTATAAAGCTATTATTTATTAAAAATACCAGATATTATTTTAAATCTAGATTCTATTCTTTTTATTACTAGTATTTTATATTTTATTTCTTTATTTTATAATTCTAATAATAAAGGCTTCGGGTTTATTTATTTAAAAAAGAAGTTATTTAGGGTTTTATATAACTTCTTTATATAAAATACCAGATATATTTTTATTAATTCCGAAAGCTTAAATTAAAAGAAATATCTGATTTATTTTAGGATTTTATATAATTCTTTTATCTAATAAGCTAGCTTATAGCTCGGGTAATTATTTTTCTAATATTTAATAATAATTTATATTTTGTTTCTTATTTTAAAGTTTATTAATTAGTAATATTTATTAACTTGAATAATATAATATATTTATATTTATATTATATTTTTTTATATTTTTTATTATAATTTATAAAGCTATATTATTAGAGCTTTTATTTTTTATTTATTTAGCTTTTTTCGGAATATCTAATTATATTTAAGTTTTCTAATTAAATAATATTTATAATTTATAACTCTTTTTATAAGAAATAAAAACTAGTTTATAGTTTTATAAACTAGAACTATTTAGTAATAATTAATTATTTTAATAATAATTTATATAAGAATATAATATAAGAAAGAAACTATAATAAAATTAAAAATATAAATAGTAAAGTATAAATAGTATATAGTATATAAAAGTTTAATTAATTAAATATTTTTAAGAAGAAATTCTTTTTGAGAACTATAAAAACTAGCTTTCTTATATAATTTCTATAAGTTATATATAAAAGACTATGGCTTTTACTATATAACTAAAACCTTAAAACTACTAAAATAATATAATTTTTAGAAAGTATAGCTTATTATACTATATTCGACTTTCTATTTATTTATACTTGTTTTTTAAATACTAAAACTAATAGAAAAATTCTATTTAGAATCCGAAATAATAAAATAATTAGAATTCTCTTTTATTAGCTAATCTAATTTCTCTTTAATATACCTAAAATAAGATCTATTACTCTTAAATAGTCTTATTTTATACTCTCGAACTTATTTAAAAATAATTCGAATTTACTTAGCTATATTTTTATACTAAATCCGATATAGTTCTTTATATTAATTAATATTTGCCTTTAATTATTATTTAATTTCTGCTTTTATTACTAGATATTAAAAAGACTTATTATAATAAATTATATTATAAATTATATTAATATATTTCAAATAAATAGCTTCTTTAAATTTCGTATTATTTATAGTATTCTTAAATTAATTTTTAATAAGAGAGGAAAGCTTTAGATAAGAGGCTTTAATAACTTTATAGGAAACTTTATTTTCGTATATTTTATTCTTAATAATAACTAGACTTATTAGAATTATAATAAAAGGCCTATTAAATAATAAATTATTATTAAGCTATTTTTCGGTTTATATATTATTTAAAAATTATTATTTGTCTATAATTTCAGACTTATAAATTACTTAGCTAAAGGTATATATTTATTTAATTAAATAGACTATATTTAAAGTCTTTTCTTCTATTACTTTAATAAATACTCGCCTATTTCCTTTATTATTTCCGGTTTAAAATTATTAGAAATAGAAAAGTAATTAATATTCTTAAAGAATTTTTTACTAAAAATAATAGTCTTTTTATAATTTATAAGACAAATATAACTAATATTCTAATACTTTTTATTAAAATAGAATTCGCTATTTAAAGCTTTAGTAATAGCTAGATCTTTAGTATTACTTTTATATTAATTATAATTAATATTTCCAGAAATATAATATCTAATTAGCTAAAAATAAATAATTAGATAAATAGAATACTTATTTAATATCTTATAAAATCCGAGCTATATTAATAGATTTACTATTAAGAATTAAAAGACTAAGATAAAATAGCTATTATCTAGATTTCTATATTTTATTATATTATTTTTTTAGAATTAAAATTATAATATCTTTATTTTTTATATTAAAAGCTCTTAAATACTAAGCTTTTTAATTTATTTCAAGTAATCTTTCTTATAAATATAACTATTTATATTTAAATTAGTAATACTAGATTTAGGAATAGAAATTATAGTATTAAATTAGAGCTATAGATTTGGGTAAAATTAATTAGAAATATAATATTTATATTTATATTCTTTAATTTCTTGGTTTTCTAAAAAGAAATCTGGTATTTTCTTATTTATTTAAGTAATAGAAATATATTTTTTGCCTTTAATAATTTTATAGATTTTAGTAACTAGTTTTAGAATATTCTTAATAATATAAATATTTCTTATATTAATAAAAAAAATATTAATAAGCTATTAAATATATATTTTATAAAAAGCTTTAAGAAATCTATTAAAAATTCTATAATATTCTTATTTATAAATAGGTTTTAAAATACTATAATATATTTCTTTAAAAATATATTTATTCTATTAAATAAATATTAATTTCTATTTAGCTAATATTTTATAAATATATTTATTATCTTTAATTTCTCTAAATTTAATATTTTTAGTTTTCTGGTTTTTAGTTCTAAATATAATTACAAGAATTTTTCTAGATAATATCTTTCTTTTTAAAATAAAGAATTTCTTTTTACTTATTTCTTTTATATTTTCCTTTATTTTATTAGTTTTATATTTAGACTAGTACTCAGATTTTTACTATTTATTAGAAGTTTTAGGCTTAGTTTATTCTTTTTTCTTATTAGGTTTTTCTTAGCTAGTTATATTAGTTTTATTAGTTTTACTAATAGAATTATTACTAGGCTATATTAAATTAGTTCTATTTTTATTAACTGGATTTAATTAAGTTAAAGCTAAAATTATAATAGAGGCCTATTTTTTAGGCTTATTTCAGAAATTAAAAAAAGGCTTATTATTATAAATTTCTTTAATTAGAATTCCGGATATATTAAAAGTATACTATTTAGCCTTAAGATTATTAGCTAATAATAGCTTAAAAACTAATTCTTTAGGTTCCGAAATAGTTTTAATATATTTAAATATTTTAGTAATATTTAATTTAGTAAATATACTAGTATTCTAATATTTCTTATTTTTAATATATTTTAAAATAATTTTATTAATTAACTAAATAGCTTTATATACTAAGGCTTTTATCTTAAAAAGAAAATATAATTTCTTATAAATATTATTATTAAGATTATTATAAATATTATTAATATATTAGCTAAAAGCTTTATTATATTATATAATTTTATTCTAACTCTTAGTTTTAAGACTATTTATTATAGTCTTAATCTTATTAAACTTTTCTTATTTGCCTTTAAAAATGCCTTTAATAATATTCTCGAATTCTCTATTATTAGCTTAGTAGTTTTTTAGCTTTTCTTTAATTAATTCTAGTTTAGTTCCGTTTTTAATAAAGGTTTTCTATTTTAAGAACTTATTATATATATTATTTAGCTTATCTAAAATATTTATATTAAATTTAATAATTATAGCTATTTTTTCTAGTATTAATAGGCCTTTTATAATTACTTAAGCTTTCTTAATATTCTAAATCTTAATACTATTAATTTATAAGCTTTTAATAATATTATAGCTTATAAAAACTAGCTATTATATTTTACTAGCTTAAGAAATCTATTCTTTAGCTATTTTATTATTTTTAAAGAAGTTATATAAGTATTATTAATATAATAGTTATAGGTTATAGAATTAAAGATTCTTGAGATTATAAGAATTTCTTTTAAATACTTTCTATAATAAAAAGTAAATTAAAATAGATTTAAATTATATAAAGATATTATATATATTTATGTTTTTTTTTCTTATTAAAAAAATAAAACTAAAATAATAATATATATAATAGAGAAAATAGATATAATAATTAGATATATTTAAGATAATATAATTATAAAAGATAAAATATAGAATTAGGCTTTTATTATAAAAAAGAATATAAATATATATATCTAAAAAAAATATAATCTAGAAAATAATTAAAGTAAATTAAACTAAATAGTAATAATAGAGAAATAAGGAAGTAATATAATAGAAATATAAATATATTTCGATTTTTTATTTATTTAAAAACGTTTTTATTAACTTAAAGAATAATATAAAAGAAGGGAAATAAAATATATAAATATATTAAAAATATTAGGAAAATATAAAATAAGTATTAATAGAAAAGAAATTAGAATAATAGAATTAAAAAATAATTTAAAATAAGATATGATTTTTTCCGAAATAGATTTATATCTTTTTTAAAAGCTAATTATAATTATTTAATATTTATTAAAATCAATTTTATATAATAGAAAGCTATTTAGTTAAATAATATTTTAAAATAATATTTATATTTATAAAAGTAATATTAAAGATCTCAGAAATTATAGAAAAAAGAATTATAAAATAATATAAATAGAATTTATAATATTATTATTAAGTTTAGAATAATTAAAATTAAAATTAATATAAATAGAATTTATAATATTATTATTAAGTTTAGAATAATTAAAATTAATATAAAATATAAAAAAATCAAGTATTCTAAATTAGTATTAAGAATATAAAATTAAAGATATCTTTTTAATTATTTAAATAATATTTAATAATAAGAAATAAATTAATAATAAAAATTAATAAAT